TATTGTACTCAGTAATTGTCGGTTCGAGCGTCTTCGAAGATAATAGGAACTTAGGGTTAAGTCCTTGACAGACAGTGTTTCAAGTTTGACAACAGACTGATATCAGTTAATAAAGAACCATTGAAACCCACCAGGAAGTACTGGACAGTTGTTTCGCCCTAGTTCGGCATTCACTGACAGTACGCACTCACTGGGGTTAGAACACAGGACCCTCCAGTTGCAAGGCAAGATCGTACACCATTCAAATCACTACTGGGACTGCAAGGTCCTGGGTTCGAATCCCAATGGGTGCATACTACCGATGAAATCCCAAACCAGGACGAAGCAGCTAGATGTCCAATGGTTCTCTCTCTCTCTAACTTATAGCAATCCGTCGGCAAACTTGAAACCAATCAAATCCCTACAAACTTAATCTTGAAAGTCAACAAGAGTGTATATGAATGAACATTTTTACAGAGTTGTTAATATAACTAACTGACTTCAAGCTTTACTAATCCTGCTGTAGATGATTGAGTATATATATATATATATATATATGTATTATTGTATCCTTTAATTCCTACAGGAACAGAGGGCTTCAGCCGTACATCTCCATTGCGTTTGGTTCTCTGCTAGAGTCTTCACCTGCTCCTCTTCACATGACCTCCTCCAAGTCACCCTTGCACTGACGACCAACTCGCCGATTCCCTTTCGGGTTCCACTCGAGCAATGGCTTGTTTAGTGATGTCACTTGATGGTTTCCTAAGAGTATGGCCAATCCATCTCCATTTCTTCCTGCTTATTTGTTTCACAATCGATTCCTGGTTGGTTCGCTCCCAGAGATCTCTGTTGCTGATCTTTTCTGACCATCTGATCTTGAGTATTGAGCGAAGAAAGCTGTTGATGAAGTTTTGTAGTTTGTTTGAGATGCTCTTTATGACGCGCAGTGCAAGTCTCTGATACGTATAGTGAGTTGCACTGACTTCACATTGGAGTTGAAAATCCGGATCTTATTTTTGATGCTGAGTGCTATTGACCTCCACACGAACGTGAGAGAAGTGAAAGCTTGTCTTGCTTATCCGATTCTTGCTTTGATATCCTCGTCAGTTCCGCCTGTAGTTGAAACGATGCTTCCCAGGTAGGTAGGTAAAAGAAGTTGTTTCTTTCAGGTTCCTTCAATTTATGCTGATTGTTGTCAGTTGTTGTTGTTGCTGTTGGTGGTGTTGCCCAGGAATCTTCATCACCTCTGTTTTCTCTATGTTCACCTGAAGTCCTATCTTTGATGCTTCTTCTGACAACTTGTTGCTCTTCGTTTGCATGTCTTCCAGTTTGTGGGAAATCAGACATATATCATCGGCGAAGTCCAGATCCTCCAAGTTTTTTTGTGTGTGTCCATTTTTAATGCCTGTTTCCTCATTGCCCACTGAATGTCGCATTATCCAGTCTACTGCAATCAAGAAAATCATTGGCGATAGTAGGCAGCCCGCTTGTCTTACTCCTGTCCTCACTTCGAAGGGTTCCGTAAGTTTTCCGTTGTGGATTACTTGGCATATATATATATATATATATATATATATATACTGAATGTTACTGTTTGATATTTCTGCTTCTTCTAACAACTAATACTGTAGATCACATCCTTACAATCAGTTTGAATATGCACATCGCGAGATCGAAGAATCCTACATCATCACATTGAGAAATGATGTTGTTTCTCAAGAAACAATAAGCACCAAAAAACAAAGACGTTTTTACTTAATTAAATATGTCATCATACAGTCTTTTACATACATAACACATATGAGTAAATATCACAAAATGTTTTGACCTTTATGTCTACAAAACAACCGACATTATGAAAGTCTGTGTGTGTGTGTGTGTCATTAAACAACCAACCGACCAACCAACCAACCAACTATATCTGTAAACACTATTGACTGCTCATCTAAGAAAGTGACCACACACACACACACACATCAGTTATCATTTGCATGATAAAATGCGGGTCATTTAAGAAACACAGCTTGAATATGCATGAAATCTATCAGAAATAATCGAAATCAGCTGACTGTTTTCAAAATGAAGTGTATAACCCAGAAGGGTTGAGAAGCAAAAAAAAGACATCAAGTGTATGTTGTTACAACCTTTGATGATGATGATAGATATTACTCTTGATTGAACACTAGTCAGTAACTAGTGTAATGTGTCTAGTCTTATCTTCGGTGCAGACTGAATTCTATCAGTCATGTTTGCAATGTGGCCACCATGCTAGTGGCTCGCCATTACGCATTGAATTGTTGGTATTAGATGGTTGGAGGCAATCGGCAGGAAGCCTTGGACCTAGGTTTCGTGCTAGTTGGCACTCATTAGCAAGGCGTATCTGCAACCTTGAGGAACTTCCTTATTACTCTATTTCGACAGTTAGATTACACAATCAGATAAACAGTTTTCATAGTTGTACAGAGTAAGAAGTGACATCCGGCTATCAACCAAGGGACGTGTGTACTGCTCAGCAGTTCGCCACGTCCTTCTCTATGGCTCTGAAACATGGCCAATACGAGTTGAAGACATGAAAAGGTTGACTGTTTTTGATCATAGATGTCTACGATCTCTTTCTCACGTTAGGTGGCATAATAAGGTAAGTAATGTTGACGTTAGGCGTAGAGTGTTGGGCAAAGAGGGAAAATCAATCGAACAGGCTATAAAGTTACATAGATTGAGATGGCTAGGTCACGTCATGCCTCTCCCCGACGGACGGGCATTACTAGCTGATTGGTATAGGTGCAGGTTGGAAAAGAGGAGTAGGTGGTGGCCAAACAAAAACATGGCCTCATCAATCCATGAAATCCTTGACAGTTAAACTGAGTCAGGTAGGGAGGGAGATGCAGACTTCCGGGTTGGGGCCCGCCCTCGGGACTCTAAGAATCAATATGGCTGGAGACAATAGGTGACATGGCTCAAAATCGTTGTCAATGGCTTACGCAGATGTATTCAGTCTCTTGTGTAATCTTTCATATTCCTTTCTACCATTACTCATTCTGTTTCACTCTTATACTTGTCAAAACTCTATTGATTCTCTTCACTCATCTTCTTCTTGTCTACCTTTGTGTGCTATTTGGAACGTGGCAACTCGAACTGGTGCACTTCGGTGCCAAGTTCTATGTTGAATCCAGACAGACAGAAAGTAAGAAAATATGTAAATAAGCCTTGGTCGATAAATGTAGTCAGACGCTCCAGGGTAATGGATAACTATTGAATATATTCATCAGTATATTCGTTTCCTTCTATAACTTGATGACACTGCGCCTTCATTGCCATGTGTTGCCTAATCACGCTCAGTAGTGATTGATTCTCATCATTCAGTCATGATGTGTATGAACGAATCAGAATTGATGTTAATGGTGAAAACCAGAAGGGCGGGGGCGAGTGGGAATGGCTCATATACATATAAATATCACGCTTTTCGATAATCATAGATCAAAAAAGGTAGACAACTTGAAAAAAACACAAATAGGCATTCACCCGGGGATTCTGATTCTTATTAATCAGTCTTATGGATAAGAACAGGGTTGGACGGTTGTATATTATAAGTGGTTTAGGCATATCAAACAACAACAACAATAAGCGAATAACTATGAACTGATAAGAAGACTCTAGAAGATCTGGATTTCGCATGTGGATGATTCATGTCTAAAGTCATACAAACTCGAAGACTTACACGCGAAAACCAACAAACTAGCTGAAGAAGCAGTGAAGACAAGACTTCAGGTGAACACAGAGAAGACGGAGGTGATGAAGATACGTCGCCAACAACAACAACCAACACTAAACAGTATCAGTGAGGCAGAAATTTGAAAAAGGTCACTTCCTTCACTTATCTAACCAAGCAGCATCGTTTCAAACGTTTCAAATACAGGCGACAGCACGGATGAAGATGTCAGAACAGGAATCGAAAAAGCACTTCAGGCTTTCATCACTCTGAAATCCCTTTGGAAATCTTCTAACCCAAGCATAGAGGACAAAAATTCAGATTTTCAACACTAGTCTTAAGTCATTTGTTCTATGTGGATCAGAAACTTGCACGGCGCGTCACAAAAAGCATTCCCAACAGCCTACTGAAGACTTTTATCAACAACTACCCCTTCGTTGGCTCCATATGCAAGATCAAATGGCCGGCCAGAATGAATAAGCAACAAGAAACTATGGGAACAAATTAACCTAGAACCTACTACTCAACAAATATGCAGAAGAAAATCGATGAAGATAGATCGGACACACTGAGAAGACTATTGGGTGGGGCATCGCTTCGAGGGTGATATGGAGGAGATCGTGTGAGGAGGAGGATATGAGAGATTATGGGTAATAATGGGCCCAACTAAAGAGCACCGTAAAGAATAGGACAAAGTGGAGATGTGCTGTTAAAGCTCTATATTCCGCCCGGAACCCAAGAGGGCAATAACATTCCCAGGAGTAAACTACTTCTGATACACCACGCTGTTAGTCGCATGTATTATGCATGTCAAGTAGGCTGAAATGGGATTCGAAGCCAAGTGCTAAGATCAATCAATGAGTCACAATTTCGACAATCAAATTCTATTACCAATTAAGCCGTCAAATGTAACTGCATAAAACCAGGTGAGAAATTTGTCGGGAGCGAATATTTACATTTTTTGAGGAAAAACTGTCTTCCAAGGCAAGATATAACAGAAATATATTTGAATAAAGTGTGAAAAAAAATTATACCTACAATTAGAAATAAAAAAGGTAGCCAGAAGGTCCTGGGTTCGAACCCCGGCTGTGGGTGCGTATTGGTGAAGAGTCCCATATTAGGACGAAACAGCTGTCTGGCAGTACTCCCAGCTGGTTTTCCAATGGTTCTCTAACCGATGTCAGCTCATAATGAAATCCTGTAACCAATCAATCAAATCCCTACAAACCAATACTCAAAATAGAAATAAAAAAGCTTTCTGATCAAACACATATTTCAACGGGAACAAAAATTAAAATTTCACATAACTTACCACATTCAAAGACTTTCTCGGCATACCGGGTGAAACAGTTGACCCTTCTGTATTTGGTGTAAGCGTACGCGAATTGGAATTGTCACCAGGATTGCTGATATTATTGTCATTATTTTGATTTTTCAATGGAATTTTCGCCACTGAAGACTTTTTAACCTTGCCTAATGAAGAATGGTGAGGAGACTCTGATCCACTGATCATAGAATATCGATCATTACTATCAATAGTTGTTAAATTACCAGGATGTTTAGGTCGACGTATTGTAACAAAGCCATTATCTGTTAGATTAGTGGATAACGATGAAGCCAGCATTGCTGTATTAATACTGTCGAAGTAACCCCCACCTGCAGCAGAACAACCAGAATCTGTGCCAACAGGATTGCTGTTATCACCGAATGGAAATTGTGATGATGAACACAACCGAGGGGAATCAGGATAATCCATTAAACTAAGACGATGTAAATTCGATGATCGTGTATTTGGTATCGGTGCATTGTCGACATTTTTCTCTATAGAGTAATACACAAATAAAAATACACAGAAAGAGAATGTAGCATCGACAATTATAAATGAATTGGAAACATTAATTTCCAGTTATTGAGACTACAAACTTTATATTTGTAGAGGAGCTAACGACATACCCATTCCAACATTCGAATTGAAGATATTGTTGCTTTTATGTACTAATGTCTAATTTCCATTCGATGGGCATCTATTCCATCAGGTTGATGGTAATGCAGTGGGAAGTCCCTTAGAACCACTTTTTATGGATTTATTCTAGTCAAGAATGGATATCCTGAGAAATTTAACAATGAATACTCTAAAGAAATGTATCCCAGTAAAACTATCTAAACAGTTATAAAAGAAATTCTGTAAATATCAATTCATCACTCAAAGGAGATGATGTGTACAAGAAGTAGTTTGTTTGTATGTCTGTCTGTTTTCAACATAGAACTCTGCACCGATGTGCAGCAGTTCAAGTCGCCACACTCCCTCCACGTAGCACACAAAGCAAGAGAAGAAAGTAGAAGAAATGCATAATAGAGACAGTAGACAGGGATATGAGACAAAAGGAACAGTAATAACGAAGAACAAAACAGTTTCATTGGAAATTATAAGTTACAAGGAGTGGATGCATCTGCGCCAGCTATTGAGAACGATTTTGAGCCATGTCACCAATTGTTTCCAACCATTGGTTTTTACCGTCCCGAGGACCCCAACCAGGAAGTCTACACCTCCCTACGTGACTAGCTTAAACTAACTGTTGTGGATTTCATTGACTGGTACCATGTTTTGGTTTGACCACCACTAGCTTTCTCTCTTTTCCAACTTGATCAATCCTATGTCAGTCAGTTAACAGTGACCGTCGAGGAAGGCGATCGATGGCTAGGCATACGTAACACATGTCCTAACCATCTCAATCGATGTAACTTCAAAGCCTCGTCGATTGATTTCCCCTCCTTACCTAGCACTCTACCGAAGCCTAACCTCAATATTGCTCAGCCTATTATACCACTTCACACGGGAGATAGAACGCAGGCACCTATGATCAAAGACAGCTAGCTGGGCTTTTCATGTCTTCCACTTTCAATGGCCAGGTCTCACAGCCATAAAGTAGTAGTCAGACGAAGACTCAATAAAGCTATCAAGAGAACTTATTATGCTGCCGAAAACTCACCTTCCTTAACACCACGCACCAGCTGGTGCGTGAACAGGCCCGGAAACACCAGCCACCAATCCTCAACACTTCAAACTCCCTATATCAATTTCAGTGTATTTGTGGAATGATACAAACACATAGGTCGAACACAAAGGCAATTGTCTACTCGCATGACGGAGTGGAGCATTTTCCGAGGTGGTTGGAAACACGTGAAGTCAGAGTGCTCTAAAGTTCAGTAACAAAGCATCTTGTCGACTACTACGGATATGATATCGACGCTGTCAAGTCATTCACTGGTGTCAGCGAGCAGACAAACAAACAGGAAGATGCTTACAACTGTAAAGGCTTGTGTAATCAGAGTTTATAAGCCAGGGCTCTGTGTACAGAAGGAAATGATGGTCACTCTGAATCTACCCATGGCAATATGTCGTACTTATTAACCGCTACTATTATTATATCATTATTATTATTCTATCTTATATTTTATTCTACCTCTTATTATTACCATTTCTGATTCATTTAAAACTATCTTTTATCATTACCATCATCTTAACTCGTCTCAGTATTATTATTGATTATTACTATTATTAGCATTACAATTTTTATCAATATTATTTAGTCTGAGATTTTTGACATATTCAAGTTCTTCCACTCACTCACTGATAACTGATTGTGTATTTAAGTGATGTAATTGAACCGTAATACATTTTATCTTAATCTTATGTCCCTGCATGTAGGCGATCCGGCTGAAGAGCTCTGCCGAAATTTGATGAATTCATTAAATCCTGCTTTATTAATTAACTTTTGTTGCTTGTTTTAAATTGCGGAAGAGGTGGTTTCTAAGGATTTGATTTGTTTCAAGTCTTAACACGGATTGATATGAGTTAAAGAACCATTTGAAACCAGCCAGGGAGTACTGGACATCTATTTCGTCCTCGTTTAGAAGGCATCATCTGTACTCACTCACTGGGGTTCGGACTCATGACCTTCGTAAACTAGTCAGCCTCTGGGACCCAATCCAATGACCAGTCCATGAATTCTAACTTCTACCGATTCATGATTTTAGCGCAACCAGCAGTCAATATATCATCAGTGTACTGCTGAGGAGTCCCAGACTAGGACGAAACAGCTGTCCAGTAATCCCTGGCTGGTTTTCAATAATTTTCTAATTCATATCACTCCGTGGTCAAACTTGAAACACTTACACAAGACACATTCACATATTCTAGTCAGTAGGTAATACACTACTGAAAAGGAAGGAAATCAGTAGTAGCAGTAGTAGTATCTTGTATAAGAACGAAAGCTCATTTTGTGTTATCCCGCCGCCACCACCGAGTTTTTCTCTTCTCGTACGCATTAGTTTACAGTTCGAAAAAAGTAAGTTTACCTGATTGAATAGTTTAGTCTGGCTAGATCAACTTTTAAAAAAAAATGAAGAATCAAGTTAGATAGTCTGGCACTAAGACAATTGAAATTTTATCTGTAATGATTTTCAATAAGAACACAACTGTCAAAATCGACACGTAGTAAGTATATCTACTTTTTCTTCTTAACAGAAACTAATTCATATCAATATAGCAAAAATATTCATTCAGACATCTATAAAACACAAAATAATTGAGCCAGCAAAGAATATCCTTTTCGATAATTTCCTCCTCCTCTGGCTCTACAATTATATATGCATGTTTATATACATAGTATATTCTAGATTAGTAGTCAATAACAATATTGGTGTTTTTTAAATAATATCGATTTGTAAAGTAAGATCAATGGAATCACAGTTCATTAAAGATGCTTAAATTATAATAATAATAATAAAGATATAGAATATCAACTAAAATTAGGAAAATTCCACAAAAATTCAGGATCATTCAAACCTAGATGGCCAAGGTAAGGACAATGTCTGAACTAGCTTCTTTTGGATGCACAAATAAGGCTTGTTAATATGGATCCCAACAACAGCCTCAGCAATATTTAGTAGTCGAACTCTTAAGGCAAAATTGAGATTCGTTGGTATGCAGTAAATGACCCTGAAAGCATGGTTAACATCAATCTTGTGTTCTGTATCCACAAGATGAGATAGAATAGCGCTACGAATAGATTTTGTTTGTCCTTTACTTAACCACTGTGCAGGTTGATGTTCGGAAACTCGACGATAAACACGCCTAATTGTACAGGAGCAGTTAAATTGATAGATACACATGGAAGAGGCAAAATTAGGCAGTTTGTCTTTTACTGCCGGAAGCAAAAGGGGAGTGGTTTTGGAGACACAGCGTAATTCGGCAGCAACAGAGAATGCTCTTTTTACCGCCTCATTTCTAAGGCGCTGTGTTAGTATCTCGCTGATGTTGTCCCCAAGGAACTGCATTTGTAAGAATAAGGCTTTTTTTGGAACTGTTGGTACCTTGGGCTGCTTTGATTTTAGATTCATATTCTTATCAATAAACTTTTCTGGATAACCATTTTCACTTAGCAACCGTTTAATATTATTAAGTTCCTCATCAAGACATTCATCCGAGCAAATTGCTCTTGCTCTGTGAACCAAGCACTATACTGACCGGTTGATGCAGTTCAGACATTATCCTTACCTTGGTCATCTAGGTTGGAATAATCCTGAATTCTTGTGGAATTCTCCTAATTTTAGTTGATATTCTATTTGCTACGATATCTTTGTTAGATAGTTAGCGTCTGAACAAAGCATGCCAGTTCAAACAAGAGCAAAAAAACAAAAAAAATTCAGCTATCTAACACCTAATATTAAATTATAACAAGAATAATCCCTGTATGAGAAATTTTAAAAACCATACAACATAACTTTCACCTGTTCATCAGCTGT